ACCCGCAATGACTGCTGCTCAAGCATGCTTTGAAGGCTATGCCTAGCTCAGACCCTCAAATGGCTGGAGCTGAGGCAGATGCAGCCACATTCTTGGCAGGTCTTCTCAGGGTCATCTTTGATGTGGAGAATTGCTTGGTATTGTTTTCTGCATTGACGTTTGCCCTTGGCACGTGGAAGGCAATGTCCTTGTGCACGGTGGCCCCTCGGTACAGCCCCACAGTTTGCAAATCACTGTCTGGACATAACTCTTCCAAGGCCTCTCTGCAACACTAAAAGGGCTCCTTTGCTCTTATGGTTGGTTCTCAGTTGCCCACAGAGCAGCAGCATCTCTCCCTCATCTCTTCTCAGTGCATGCACGCAAGCAACAAATTTCATTTCTGTCCACATCACTTCACTGGGAGGATCTGCTCATGCCCAGGGCGTGCCTAGCTTCATCTGATATAGAAAGATGAACTTTCTTTTGGAAAAGCATTAAGGATACATTCTCCTTTACCAAGGGCGAAGGCCACACAAAAGGAGATTGGATGGTTATTAACTAAACTTCTAGATCCAAATGGTAATTAGGAGGGGCACAATATTTAAGAGCTTACTGTCCACATATTTTTGCTGATTGAGGCCTTAATTACATTCAGCATCCATGTAATAAAGGGCAGGAGCCACTCTCCAGGAGATGCAGTCAGAGGTAAGGGAGCTCACAAAAGCCAGTAGTAACTTGGTTCACGCAGGTTTAACTTCACCTTGGATGCCTTGTTGGAGATGAGCAGCTCAGAGCAAAGAGTTTAAAAGTCATGGGTCTTTCAAGCAGCTGTGGGAAGGCAGATTACCTGCCCCCTCCATAGTTAGCTTCCATAAATGGTTTTCAAGAGAATTCCCTCCTCGGCTGCTATCATCACACTTCATTAGAGAAGAAATGGCGATACCAAAGAAGCTCTTCTACCCACCACAAACACCTCCAGCAGCTCCCTCATGGCTTTTAATGTCTTTTGAGGACAGTAGATCACAAAATAGGTGCATTCTTCATATGAACCTGTGCATCTATTTCACACAGTTGGTATCTGCTCTTCCAAACTAAATATCATTTCTTGCATATAACTTCGAAGCTGCTGACTGTCCCTTACAAAACAAACAGGGCCCCTGAGGACGGGCTGGAAGTCCCTTTCCAGAGACTCAGCTGTACTGAGGCAACTGCATCTCATGTGGCTTTCAACACATAGTGGGTGTGATTCGGGAGCCTTCACTGCTCAGACATAAGTGTAAGGAGGAAAAAAACAGTAAAAACTCCAAGAGAATAGTTTATCAGCATAAATTTCCTGGATAGCTGCAGCAAACTCTCCCCACTGGCACAACAGTAGCCTGGTTTCCCCACGTCTCCTCCTGCACCTCATCACAGAGATGGGGGATGCAAATGCAGCAATTCAGTGCTTCATGGCTGCACTCTGCATCCTCCAGAGGCCTTCGCTTCTGACTCTTGACCTCCAACAAAACCTTCTCTGCTACACTTTGGGTCAAGGATGCTACTCCTGACCCTACAAAATGCTGACAACATGCTCAGTTCTTCACTTTTTTCTTCCCCCTAACAACAGGAACCTCTGTCCCATACCTGCACCCAATGAGCCACCAGGCATTTTGCCCTCAAAGATGTCACGACCCCAGACAGGGACATGGGTTTAACCACGTGTCACCAATTAAGGAAACGTCTCTGCAGCTTGAGAACTGCAGGATTCCTGGTTCTCACCCTTTCTCAGGCACTCTGGGCTCTGGCCTGTATTTGCTCTGTTTTTTCCCCCAGAAAAGAGCCCGCTCAGCTGGGGCAGGAAATGTCAATGCTGGCAGCAATTTAACCCTGCTGATTTTAGTGCTTGTCAAGGGCTAAGTAGCAAGCGAGTGATTACGGGATGGGCAGATTTCCGTCTCCCAAAGGCAGGGGCAGGAAGGTCAGAGAGAAAGCACCAGTCTTCAGCAGATGACAAAGGAAGCACTGGAGGCCTACAGCCAGCCATAGATGAAATCCCACGCAGGAAACATTTCAAGCAGGCGTAAGCAACAACCTGAGTTTTTTTTCCTTGGATTTGCAGTTCAGGACAGATCTGGAGAACTTTGTACTTTGGACCCAAATTAGGAAATTTGGGGGGGGAAGACCTGAATAGAACATTAAAGTGCACTTTATAGACAAAGGTGGAAAAAAAATCCATGCTTTCTCTGAAAACCATATGACTTTCTCACAGTTGTGTATTTGGGCAGCAACACGCACCTTCTGACCCAATCAGTGCTGAATTGAAGTTATTTTCTAGCATTCTGGCTCTGAAATCACACATCTGCAGCTTTTCAATATTCTTTTCCTTTTCCCCTTTCGTCCCCAACTTATGCAAGAACAATATTTTCTAAATGCATCTCCCTAGTGATGATGTAAAAATATATAGTATCATTAAAAAGCTATCAATGCTGCTCTTCTGTAAAGTGCTCCTTGCTCTCCTAACAGCACCACTTGAAAGCAAAAAACAGCTGGATCTCGCAGTAGTTTGTATTTCTCCTCCTGAGAATTTTCAATTACGAATTTTTGACTTACTCTTTACAAGCAGCATTAAAACTAATTTGCATTACTTTGGACATTTTTTCATAAAGATGAAGATTTATCCCTCAAGCTAATCCCCAGTACAAGCAGTTATCCCACTACAGCTCCTCAGTAAAAATAATAAGGAAGCAAAGACAATGAAGTCATTATATAGAGCTCAGCAAAGCTGGACTAATCTATATGTAATGCAGGAAACCCCAAAACGCAACCACAAAGCAGCAGGCATAAAAACATTCGATTTTAAACCCACCTATGGAATTTCCCAATTGTGTCTTACAGAAACGTGACGTTAGGTTTTCACTGAATGAGACTAAAACACCACTAGAAAGATTATTCCTTCCACTGCTGCAACTAAAGCTTAGTGCTCAGACTTCTGCTCCAAAAAGCAGATCTGTTACACGATCTGTAATGCAATTTGTGAAACCGAAGTGCTAAGTGCAGTAAGCATAATTCTGCGTGGAGCATGAGCTATTTTTGCAGCTGAGTGGGTCTCTGGATAACCTTGCACACTCAAGCTATTAATTCCAGAGTTGAAGGCAACTCTACAATCGAGGATCTTCAAAAGGGAGAAAGAAATCACAGTGCCACCTCGGGTTCACAGCTTTGATTCGTAACAGATGCGAGGACTGTAGCCCTCGTGGTACCGTGTCAAGTCTGGAGGCATTTTGATGAATTCTGAGCAGATGGAGCATGAACACAACCCCTCACTCACACAGGTTTACTGTCTATCAACTGATTACATTCCCCAAAGCCATACTGGCATTCAGCATCTGGACCCCCCAAATACTTCATCTTCACTGCCCATCCATCCTCTTTTTCCCTTTCTTACTGACCATATCTACCACAACACCAAGCAACCAGAAATGAAATAACAGCAACTGTATCTGAAACCTCAACCGAGAGGCTGGAGGCTTTGCCATGATCTGACATGGAAACAAACACTCGGTCTGATCCAGCACCAACACTCCCTCTCCCACAGCTCCTTTCCCCCATAGGATGGCATCTCTGAGGCTAGAGGATTTTGTGATCTCATCAAAGGGACCCCACATAACATCCATGGAGCCCCCAATGCTCACCCTCAGCTAGATGAGAGCAGCACAAAGATACATATGAGAGTCATTGCTATTAAACGAGGAGCCTAGGTGTTAAGTACCTACAACAGCTAGCACTAGCAACATACTCCTGGAGACTGGATGTATTAACAAAGAAGTTCTACCCTTGTTAACATTCTCTGTCCTGTCACACACATGCAGTCTTATCACAAGAAAAATTAACGTGGAAACAGATTTTTTTTTTGCACAGTCACAGTATTTTCATGTCATCCCTGTAAGTCAAAGCAATTTGAATGATCACGTCACTTATCAAAGCTAATTGCGCTGCCTCCAACATTGCATTCTTCTTCTAAGAGTGCCTCATTTCTTTTTTCTTTTTTTCTCTTTGTTTTTTTTTTTTCCTTGCACTTAGGATGATTCAAACTCATGCCTGCCCTTCCAGCCTGGTGCTTTATTATACTCTGCAACCAGGTAAAAAGAAAGTAAACCTTTCTGTTTGATTAAATGATTATGCTACATCTTCTAGACCACAGGAAGTGAGCCAAGGTTGTTAAAAAGGAAATCACTAATTTTTTTTTTTTTTATCTTACACAATCAGTTTAAGGGGATCATCTAATCCATCCGTTCCATATACCACACAACTCAAAGTAAATTAAGACAAGTCCCAGGGAAGAAAACAAAGTCATCCCATTTAGAACACTCTATAGTGGTCTATGAGAAGAGAGAGGCAAACATTTGGGTGAACAATAATGTATTAGTTTGAACCCCCAAAAGTGACAGCCATGGAAGACTGAGGCCTGACTTCTGCTACATCTGTGGCACCGAATACAACAGGCTCCTGCTCTGCACATATGGCTCCAGCTTATTATTATCATAAAAGTACTGTTTGTTCATGCTAACAGCCTCTCTCCATGCCTGGGAGCAAGGAGCAAGTCATCAGCTGCTCCATAATAGATGCCCATAACATCCATGACTCGCTGTAATTTGAGGGCAATATTAAGAAGGTACAGTAATTACACAAGCAAACATGTTTATCTCCACTGCAGATGGAACTTAATTTCCAACCTGTTGCTGTTCCACACGCAGGAGGACAAGCACCAAACAGGGAAACACCCCTGCTGTTGGCCAAAAGCACTGGACAGTGGTGGCCCATGGGCAGAACATCTCCAGAACGTGACTTATCACAAAACACACAGCTGGGCTCTCCTACCAACAGATGGAATCCTGTCCCATCTACGCTCAACCACCCGTCATGCGTTTCAGGCACCTATGGAAGAGCCAAGTGCACCTATAGCATTCTGCAGAAGCGTGATGACAGGGAAAGACGCAACCCACGGCAGGTCCATGGGAAGGAGGCATGAACACAGAGCTCACCGCGGACACTTTGCTGACGACGTCCCTGGCGACGGCAAGACCTTGCGCGAAGGTGCGGGCTGCCACAAACGCTCGAGTCACTTGAAGCTTCAGCTTGCGCGGCACGTCCCCGAAGGGCTTCAGCTGCTCCGTGTACTTGCTGACACACTCAAGGTACTCATCCGTGAAGTGGTACTGCGGGTTCACCAGCCGGAACATGCGCTCCAGCAGACGTGCCCAGAAGTCGTTGAGCATCTCCTCTAGGTTGACGTTGCCACCCACGTAGTACCGCTTCAGTTCCACGAAGAGGTCCTTGAACAGCTCTGAGTTCTGCATGTACAACCGGCCATACGTCCGCACAAACATGTCGTTCAGCGACTTCTCGGCGTTCTCCAGAAGCTCTTTGAAGAACTCTAGGAAAGAGCAAGAGAAGCCATGGTAAATGTCGGTACTGGGTTAAGCATTTGCACGTTGCTTAACTTGAAAACGCAGCACCCAGGAGAAATTGATTTTTAAAATGATTTCCATATCTAATTTTCAAATAATTTCTCAAAATCCTTGCTTGCTTCTCATAAAGTCAATCACCCTTCAAAACCACTCTCTAAGGCCTCCTAAGGCTTGGATGAGTAAAATATCTTTTGACCAGTACTAAATATCATGACAAAAGTCAGTAAAATGGAGAAAATTAAGCAGCCTTTACGTTACCATTCAGCCAGCTTGAAATGTTCTGAAGCCCCAAATTATCAGAAAGTAAAATATTTTAAAGTGTCCTAAAAAAGCTGGTTTTCAAAGAAATCTTTTTAATTACTGTCAGTTCACTTTCTGCAACGATGATAAACCAACCTCAAAAACTAAACAACTTTAGTACATTTTTAAAAACAGACCCAAAAATCTACCTATGTGTTCTTTCTCCTCTCTTTCAACTCTGCCAGATCTCAGGGCAGGGCCTGTCTCTAATTATGTAATTGGTTCTGATTGCAGACAGGACTTCAGATGTTTATGGCAGTACAAAGAAAGTGCAATTAAGCCCGAATTTGCTCAAAATCCAAGGGCTAAACGCTTGACACTGACAAGAAGGCCAAGAGATTTTTCAGCTGACGGAGAACGGCTCCGGGTTTCGTGGCTTTCAAAAAGCAAAGGCCAGCTTCAGTTCAGTGTTTGAGAACACCAGACAGGCTGGTGCCGGAGAGCAGCCACTGCTGGAACACCGTCACGGCATCGTGGCAGTGACGCACACATCTCTGACGCCGGCTGCAAGGTGACCCAGTGACATCTGGCACTCTGCGTGCATCTGCCAGGTCAATTTAAAGAACATCCCCCTCCAAGTCAGTGCTGCCAAAGACACAATGCTTGGGAAAGGCTTCGTTTCCAACGGAGGGAGGCGCAGATACTGCAGAGGGCAAACTGGACACTGCTAATTAAGCTGATCTACATCAGCACAAGTGAAAAGACAGTCTGCTCCTATGTAAGTGGCAGCGGTTCAAAGGAGAAATCCCAGCATTTAGTAGGTCTGATGAAAGATCACAAGATCACTCTACTTGACAATCTTTGCCTTGGATATCTGTTAGATGAGATAAAGTAACAGAGGAGAGATCCATTAAGCTTTTTAGGCCCTTTTGGAGCACAACTCCACTTGTATAGGCATGGGAGGGAGCTAAGGCAAGCAAGGCTACCAGGGGGACTTCCACCATGTGCTGGTGGTCAGCATAAGCTGCTCACAATTGAAATTTTCTCTGCCCACCCAACAGGACCTGCAAAATTCTCCCAGGAAAACAAAAACCACAAATGTGCTGGTGCTCATCCATGTGCTCCGAGCCCAGCAGGATATCGGCACCCAGGGTGCAGACTCAAGGGGGGCCTAGGGAGAGGGTTATTTTATGCATGCCACTGCAATTGAGGATTCTGACCTCTGCTTTTCTGTGACTCATATTCAATAAATATTTTTTAATAAAACATGCCTCTGTTGGTTTTTTTTTTAATCCTCAAAGGAGTAATGTTTAAAGCCAGAAGTCGTTAGAAGGAGGGGGTAGAATATTTTGGCGTGGTGTGAATTTAAACCTTGTTAAAATGTATTAAAGTATGCTGAAGTTCAGATTTTAGTCTTCAAAGTGGTCCAGTACAAACAAAGACTAACACAGAAAACATTTTCTGGAAAAACTGAAACATTCTTCGAGTTCCTGACGAACAAAGTCATGGGGCTTGGTGGTTGACATAGCTGTATATAATGCAGCCTCTTAGGAGCACAAGAGAAATGATCCAGGGAAGAAGAGATTGATTTCAAACACCCGACACGTCCTCTGTCCAATATCAGCAGGAACCTCCACTTTCGTTCCCATGACTGGCATTTCCTCTCCAGGAAGATTTTTTTCTGTTGAGTTTATACTATAGAGATTAGCTTGGTGTATATTAATTTCTAATTCACTTAATCATTTTGAAGGCTCACTTCCTTCCTTAGCTCAGGCCTTTTAATATCACTAAATAAGCTGTTTACTTAAACACTTTCATACCAGGCACAAGATCTGGCAGATGCATCAGCAGAACTCTTCAGTAACAACTGTATTTTAAAATGACATTGATGTGAAATCTATTACATATTTCCAACTATTGGTCTAAAGGAACCCAACGCAATGTTTTAAGCCAAGAAAGTTGCCTCAAGCAATACATCTATATTGCCATAACCAATTCATTCTCCAGCCTAGACTTAATTACTGGTTATGCTCTGAACTGAAAGTTGAATAAACTGATTCAGGCTTTACAGCCGTTCGTCCCTTCACAAATTTTAATCTGGGCTAAAACCAGGTATGTTCATTAATTATCCTAAAAAACAAACAAAGGAAAAAAAAAAAAAACCAACCCATAAACCAAATTAGTTGTAAACATATGTGCACAGAATCTTCCCTCTCCCCTTAAGGACATCAGTTTGGGTGAGAAACCAACACTTTCCCTGTGCAAACCAGGGGTAAAGACATCTGCAGCAAAGAGAGGAAAGTCCAAAAGTCCTTTTTATGACTTAAATGCTAATCTGACTGTAACTCAGTCTGTCTCATTAGATATTAATCCTCCCCTTCACAGAAACAAGCTGATTAGCAAACGCCAGTGTAACCCAGCATTAACCTTGCCACCACAAGAAGAAAAATGGCAGGTTCCTCTCTTACATCTTGACTGTTTGCTGGGTAAAATAAATGACCACCTTTCATTTGTATTAGAAGTTGACTTGTTCTCAAACAAAGCAAACACACAAAGGACTTGGTTGCTTATTTTACAGCACTGTAAAAGCACGTTTTACAGCTGTGTTGCAAGCAATCTGTACTCATTAAATTATCACTCTGACAGGCTTCCTGTGAAAAGCTGTCAAATGCAAACATTTTTCACAGACGACAAACCATAGTTTGCCAGTGCTCTCCGAGACTCTGCTATCCACAGAGATGTCAGGCTCGCTTTGGCTTCTCGGTTATCTGGTTTAAACTCACAGACCAAGGGGTGGCCCCCAGACAAACAGACAAAAGCAAGCAGCGCACAAAATCAGGAAACGTTTCACCAATTGATCCCCAGAAGCAGCAACGTGGTTTTCGAGCAAATCCAGCACATCTCACCTGCCTGGTCTCCAAGCTAATAGCAGAGCACAGAGAGATGTTTGGGTTACAGGGAGAAGTTTTGCCATTTTGCTGGGTCTGATCCTCACAGGTGCAGGTCACAGGCACGTGCCAGCAAGGCTGTGGCACAAGCTGGGACACAAGTTGCAGGACAGACAGCAGACAAAGTGCTGAGAGAATGGACAGCAGCAGCGTTTGGGTTGCACAAAATTAAGGAGCAGCATCTGAGCAGTCAGCATCAAGGCAGAAATCTCACAGAAACAGAGGCTGCTTTAGACAGAAATCCTCCACAAGCAGTGTTCACGAAGACCCACTTTCGAGCACCTACACCGATCTCTCTGTGTTTGGTACCAGTGTTATTCATGACTTACTGAATGCTGCAAACCGTAAGGAGGTGTATAATGAGCTGTCATCTCCCTAAGAAATGCTGCCTTCCCAACACCTCATACAATCCTTGTAAATTTATTTCTGCTTTTTCCTACTTTCTACATTTTCCTACTTTCCCCACCTCAGCTGAGACCCACTGATGGAAAACCACCTTGTCACTCAGGAAGGTGCCAGGAGGAAGGGAGCAGGGCTCGGCCATGCCAACCTTTGATGGTCCCAGGGCTGCCATTCACAGAGATATCCTCTGGCAGCAGTCAGAAAATCTTTTCTAAAACCAGGATGAAACTCTGAAATTTGTAAATAAATCCTCTGGACTCTATGGACTTTGCTGCTCAGAGGAAGATGACATTTATAATGCAATTAACTTCTCAGGATAGAAAAGGATGTAATCTGCAGACAGGCAATCTACAGCTCTGGGCTATGTTTATTCTTTTAACACGTTTGAATTTCAGTGTAGAATTTCAGTGCCAGCACTCAGGGGAAAATCTAGGATGTCAGGAAAAAGTAAGAAAGACTGGACATGACACATCTGATATTTCTGTAATAAGAGTCCTGGAGGAAAAGGAATTCCTGCTTTTAAACAAGCCCTTCCATAAAACAAATTTCCACAATGGGAAAATTTAACCACAGTTACTTGGCAGTTTCCTTTTTCCAGGTAATACAAGCAATCACCTGCTTGCAGCTTGAGGGCAGACAAGCCCTGCTGGTAACCCAGCACCTCTTGAAGGTGCTTCCACATTACACCAGTTTCCACAGCCAGAAAAATTCTAAACAACCCTCCTTCCAAGCTGTGGATATGTTAGCTATTTGAAGAAACAATCACTCCACCCACTGTAGGGCACAGGGCAAATTCCACCTACAAACCATAAATCCACTTCCTTGGACTCTTTTTTTTTTTTAATGTTGAGTTCACAGGTCTCATCTGAAAATATCCTCAAGGAGGAACGGATGTAACATTTTCCTATTTCTTGTGCTAACATTTTCAGATATTTAGAGTGGGATTTTCATATTAGATGGCTTTTGATGGGGAAAGCCCTCTGCTATACAGCACAGCCCTACCTAAATCAAAGGCAGCTCCTGGAGATTAGAAGAACACATCAAAGGGGCACGCTGCAGTTCACCCACAGCCCATTTTGGCATTTCCCTACAAACACTGGTAAGGAGAGCAGCGCCAATCCAGGAGCCCTGAGAGCTCAACCCAGTGCTGCTCTCCCTGGAGTGTGAAGTTTTGCTTTGAATTTCCTCATTGTCAGGGATGAAATGCACAGGTGCCCCTTTGTTGGCACGTGTGTCCTTCCAAACCAGGGCTATGCCACATGTTTCCCTTCCCAGCAGCCTTCAGACGTTCTAAATTTCCCATGCATCAGGTTAACTTATTTTATAGCCACGTTTTCAACTGGCCTTAGAGTTATTCTGATGAAGATTTCCAAATT